GAGAAAAGGGAACTATGGCCATCATCAACTGAAACCGTAAGCCAAAATAACCCTTTCCTCTTTATTAGCCGATTTACTTCAGTTGTTTGTTCCTGGAGAGCCAACACATTATGTGACTGGATTCAGCCAACAGGAGTGAATCCTGCACACATGAGGTAAGCTTGCGGCTCCTGTTCCCTCTCTGAAATTCTGACACTGTCACAGAAATAAGACCAACCTAGTGTGTTGGGTCATCACTGACGCCCACTCCAGCTGTCTCGTTGCCCTAGCGGCCAACCAGTTGACCACCAGATGTGGGACAGAGGTCCATCCCATCGAGCAAGCCCCACCAGGATCCGCCAAGCCTCAACACCTGGGAGCGATCTGTACATTCGTTTCTCTGAACTGTCGGATTTGGGTTGTTATGGGTTGTTACGCAGCATTATTCATGGTAACTCATAACTGATACGAGCACTTAACCTAATTCCTGGCATGAAATTTATGCTGAGTACATAGTTCCAACACAAGTTAACCCAAGCATTGGGGAGGTTGAGGCAAGAGGCTTGCCACAGGTTTGAGGCCCGTGTGGGTAAGAGTGAATTCAAGGACAACCTGAACTATAAAGCAAGACTCTGTCTCAAAAAATAAATAAATAAGCCAAGTGAGTTAATGCATGAGAAGGAAGAAAACACTCACCTTATTAGTCCTTATTCTCTAATACCAAGAGCAGCCTTTGGCATGTTTGCTGAATGAATGAATATAAAGTGACAAGTTCGACTACAGGGTAAGGTGGAGAGGAGAGACCAAACGCGACCCTTATCCTTTCAAGAGATAAAGATAGTATGGTCTGGGGCACAGCAAGGGGGGAGGCAGAGCATTTCACATATCAAGGCGCTAATGGTTGAGCCTGTCTTTGTCCGGAGCTTTAGGCTGGTCGTGGCCTGGGTGGAGGCTCTGTGGGCAAGCAGGCCTTACAACAGCAGAAGCACCCAGCCTGGGTAGGAGGCTCCAGGCCCAACCTCAGCTCACCTAATACCACCTTTGCAGCCTCTGCAGGCCCCAGGCTGGGATTCTAACAATGTGGTTGTTATGCACCTCTGAGTTTTCCATAAAGTTAGTGAAAATTCAGATTCCTAGGCCCGATCCAGGATTCACCAGCACCAGTGAATGAATATTCCATAAGAAGTGTCCACAAACTTGCATGTTAATTCCACACTCAAGGAATCAGAGCCATGTGGGGGGTGATGGAACTTTCCTCTTACACTTTCCCTTATTTGGGCAAGAAGGGCTGCAGCACCAATCCCTGCTTGCCTCGGCCTCCTCCTGTGGTCCTGGACCTCCACTACCAATCAGCAGCCAGTCCCGCCCAACTACTTCCGCTACACGGCTATTTAGACCCCGCTCACTTCCTCAATAAACGAGACTTGATCAGAAAGCTTGTCTTGTCTCCGTCTGTTGTGTCTCTTGCCCTGTCCTGTTCATCCCTGTTCCTCCTCCAGGTCACTATCCCACGTGTTGACTCGCCGGACGAGTCAGAGACAGAACAGGATGGATGACCTACCAGTACCAGACGGTGCTAGGGAGGCTGGAAAACACAGATTCTGGGAGAGGCACAACAGGTATATGACTTGGGATGTTCAGATGCCTTACCTAGTCCTCACTGCCTCCTTGGGAAGCGGGCTATCATACCCACTTCATGGAAGAAGACAGGGAATGTTGCAGGCAGCCGAGTTAGACAGAAATATTATAGAGGCCCTCAGAAAGACAGCATGGAAGACAAGATCCATTGCAACCGTGAGAGAGGGTTGCTCCTGCTCTGGACCAGACCTAGAGACCAAAGATCAAACAAATGCTGACCTCCCTTAAAAACAAGCATCTGGGATTGATCATCATCTTGAGGAAGCCAAAAAGAGTCACTAATCCAGCTGCTACCAGCTGGTTATTGGATAGACTCCTGTTCTATATTCGTGCCCGCTCACTAGATGACTCGCTTCTCCATTTGGTCCTGGGCTTAATTTTACCTGAGCATTGGTGCTTGTAATCTCATTGGTTGACCGTAGTTTTGTCCCAGCTCATGCCCACGTAAGCAAGTTCCCATGTTCTCCACCTTAGACCCACATGGTTTTACTCTATAAAAGTCCCTGGAAGAGATAGCTTCCAGGGGACAAACTGCTCGGGCCCTACTTCTGTCCCCCTCTCAGACAGAAGTTTTCTTTCCCCCAAATAAACATATTCTGCTCTTAACCTCCGTTTGTTCCTAAAATTCATTCAATTTTAGAGAACACAAACTTGTCCCAGGTACCTTTCAGGTTGGCCGTTTCATTTCTCCTATACCATGAAGACTAGAGGCTTTGTAAGAATTCTAGTCAGTGGTGCCTTCCGTCATCGGCATTTTGCATTTGTGCCATGCAGGAGCCACTGAACAAGATACTTTGTCTTTTATTCAGAAGACTTTACACATGGTCATTTTAGGCTCACTAGGTCCCTGCTGAGGCAGTGTGGATCACATGTTGAAAGTGGAATGAAGGCCCCAAAAGGGTAAGTGAATGATCTTGCATCATCCAACAGAAGAGCCTGGTAGCATCCGCTAAAGGCCCGGATGTGGAACCACTATCACTCTCTTCTTTATGCAGCTGGGGTAAATTAAATGTTTCTTTGACGGCCAGGCTAAATGTTGTTTTCAAGTCTGGGGTTTTGTTTGTATGTGTACATTTTAAATAAATTTGATAATTGAGTCACAAATGTTCCCAGCACTCTTGAGCATATTCAAATTACAGACTTCTGATCTAATGGAGAAAAATCACCAATGTGGGCGTGAATGATGGCTTTTGTCTGCCTGGTGCTTTTCACAGCACTCAGATGGGTCTGTCAGCTTAATGGCCACTTCCAGAGCGCTGGAAATAAGGGCAGGGGAGGGGCTGCAAGTGAGACTACAGGAAGTGAAATCCCAAAGTGACAGATTGTGCTCCTTTTAAGAAGACATTTCATAGTTGCCTGTAATTTAGCTCAACAAGCCAGTTTGGAAAAACAAGACAGGTGCGTTTGCAGCTCAGTGGTAGAGCTGTTTTGCATGTGAGGTCCTGGGTTCACTCCCCAGCACCAAAAAAAAAAAAAAGTCAAGCTGGCAAAACTAATATTTTTCCCCCCTCTGGCTACAGCACGCCCTGCTCACAGCTAACAGCCAGAATTCCACTCCTGATTACTGGGAGAAGGGCTTCCCCGGTCAGGGGGTTTGGGTCCAAATTTCCTTTGGCTGTTGTTTGGGGGTCTGGGCAACTAGAGGCTTAGTGCCCACCTACTGCAGTCATTTCCCACCATCAAATAAAAATCAAATTCAGACTTAGTAAAGAAAGATTTGTAGTTGAAAGGATTGTAGCAAGGAAGAAAGCGCTCTAGCTTCAGGGGAGAAACACTCCCGCAAGAGAGAGGATCTGTGTCCACAAGATCTGCAAACACCTGAGGGGCAGGCTTAAAGCTTTTCTTTTGTAGAGAAGGAAAAGCAAGGTGAGCACGAGAGGAAGTGGCCTGCAAAAGTGGCAGGATGGGATGGAAGGTCACAGACAGCTTACCCTGAGGCTGGGCTGTTCTCCCAAGGGGCTGTGTGTTCTGAAGGGGTTGAGGGTAGGCCAGTGTTCAGGGTCTACAGGAAGCTTCTCCAAAGTCTGGTTCATAGAGGTGTTTTGTTCTGATCACTGGAGACAAGCACTTCAGCTGATCGCTTACAAGAAAAAGCAAGAAAACTGGGAGAGTGTCTAACTTAGACATTGGTAGACAAGAGGTGACTGTTCCTGAGTCTTATCTAAATCTTATAGAGAAAGGCTTTTTGTGGTAAACTGTATTTTGGATCAAAACCAGAGTGAGCTGAATTCCTTTTACTTTCACAGCTTTCCAGGAACACAGTGGTCAGGTAAAATTCAACACTGTCACCACACAATGGAGGGAACCAAAGTGGGTGGACTTTGGACCTATGGCTGCTGGGCCCAGTCACCACCACCTCAGCGAACTCAGTGGGTTATGAAAATCTTTATTCCCTGCTTTACTTCCTCTCTCGTTAATTGGGAATGATCATCATTACCACCAGGCACTGACACAGCAAGGAACTGACCCCTCACTCCTTTGGTCCTGGGTTCCTTGTGCCTCCTTTGATGAAAAAACTCAGCCAAGACATTTGGAACATGGGTAGAATTTATTGTAAAAAAGCTAAGAGATTTAAGCCTTCAAGAGAGAAAGTGGGCAATATCACAGAGACATCAGTCTTGAGTGTGAGTCTGAGGACATTTTTATGCACGCAGGAGTTATTCTTGGGGTTCAGAAACTATGATGATTGTCATTATTTACATGCCCTATCGTTCATGGCATTTCTCTTAGTCACTCTGGAATGTTGATAGCTCAAAAATGTCTTCCTTGCTCCTTTCAAGCTGTGTGTGTTCTCTCAGCGTCCTTAATTCCCTTAAGAATCTAAATCAGGTTTCAGCCCAGAAGGGAAAGTCTTTCACCATGCTCCCCTTTCTGATGCCAGCTGGTGTGGGAGACAGCCCCCAAGAATGCTGTATCCTTGCTTTGGAAACAGAGGACCAAGTGGCCAAACGGAATGTGTGCAATGCATAATCTCAAAATAGTGCTGCACTCTGTGGAACTGCTTCAGGTCGGAGACCTAGCAACCGTTAGTAGGTCTTTGCTTCTCAACTGGCAAAGCACAGCCCTTTGTCTGTTAGGCCAGCTAACGTCCAACTACCCAATGTCTGTATCAATTTGCTATGATTTTGTGCCTGCCCCACCCACCCACCTTGCAGATTGAACCCAGGGCCTTTTACCCGAGTCACATCCCCATCGTTTTGTTTTGTTTTTGTTGAGAGAGTCTTGCTAAGTTGCCAGACTGGGCTCAAACTTGTGATCTTTTGGCTTCAGTCTTCCACTAGACTTTAGCATTTTTTAAAGTGGCTCCTCCCCCGCCCCGAACCAGGGATTGAACTCAGGCCCTTGTGCTTGCCAGGGAAGCGCATATTCTGAGCCATCTCCCTGGCCCCTAAAGTGGCTTTTGCAAGGAAGGGGCGCTAGTTTAGTGTCAAAATTACACTGATCTGTTGCATTTGGGCAAGCCTCAGTTTCCTAATCCAGAATAAACACACAATAATCTTACAGGTACAGAGGATTAAGCAAAACTCAGGAGTGTAAGGGGTCCTGACAGCGCCACACTACCGTTCCCTGGTGACCAATAAAGGAATCTCCTTCCTTCCCTTCCCTCACTCTCCAGACCCAAGGCCGGCCGTGCTTTGGGCTTGCTCCGTGCCACATTCCAAATCCGCGGACCTTGAATTCACAGGTAGCTCATGCTTTAAAATCCAATTCGCAGTGAGCGGCGCATTTCTTAGCAAGAGGTGGCGGCGGGTTGACCACCTGGCGGCAGCTGCGTGCTGAAACATCTGGTCCTTTCCCCAAGGAGACAGCCCTGGTGGGTTAAAATTCTGGACCTGTGACTTTCCAAACGCAGATGGCCACTTTACTCACCCTGTTTACGTCTTTGCAAAATAGAACTATGCTTCCATGTAGATGTTGGAATTAGATTAAATAGTACGTGTAAACTTCCTTTATACGAAATTATCTTTGCAGACCGACACCCAAAGGGAAAAAAGCCTTCCCAGCCTTTGAAAGGAAGGGGCGGAGCCAAGATATCGGTCGTTCGGCGCTCCTCTAGGCAACCTAGTCACGATCAGACGAGCTGCGAGTGATGGATGCTCCTCGCGCCTGCCTGACTGCTGAGAGAGCAGCCCTGCTGAGATCAAGCGGAACAAGTTGTCACCAGCCCCGGGCCAACAGTGACACCGTCCAAAAGCTAGAGGTTAGTTTAGGAGCTATTAGAAAACGCTGGCCGCTCCGGCTCTTTAGAAATACGTTAGCTGGGCTGGGGGCACTACCGACCAGCCGTCGCGCTTAAGAGTTGTGTGGAGCGGAAGGGACAGCTTTGCGCATGCGCCTCGGAAATAGCCCAAGCTGAGCGCGCGCGGCCCTTAGCGCTGCGGGCCGATACCCGGCGTGCACCGCGTGCGTCTCCTGCTAGTCGTCATGCGCATGCGCGCGTTTTCCTGCTAGTCGCTCTGCGCATGCGCGCGGCCAGTTTCCCCCCCCACTCCCTCTCCGGCTCCTTGCTCCAGAGCTAGTTTGCGCCTGCGCGGTCCTAGGGCTTTGCTTTGACTTTCCCGACCTCCTAGTTCATAGTGCGTTTGTCGCCCATTGGAAACGATTGTTCCATCGGGCCTCGCACACGAGCTAGCAGCCGTGCAGCCCTAGAAGACGTCGGGGAGGGAAAGGCTGTCATGCTTGGAGAAAGGGTCGGAGTGGATTGGTGTGGGCTACATGCATCTGGCCAGGTCCCCGGCCCCTCCGCGCCAACGAAAGGTGCTTGTCATCGGCTAGGAAGTCACTCTGAGCACCCGTGTTGCTTTGCCACACCAAGATCCAGTACAGTGAGTCACCATGGCCTAAAGGATTAGGTGGCAGGAGGCGATCAGGTGTGGGGGCCACACCGTGGACAGGACCCTGCGATGTCCACGCTCGTTGGTCACAGAGCCCTGTGCATGAGGAAATCTCCTGCAGTTGAACTGAAGACGTTACTCAGCCGGGTGCCGGACTGTTCTGAGAAAGCTAGGGACGGGCCGAGGTGACCTGGAATTGTCCACCAGAAGGTTTTCTAGGACCAGCTCGGTGCCTTCAGTGGCTGCACTGTGTGGCCAGCTTGTGTCATGCTGGTGTCATGGTGGGTCTCCAAAAGCTGTATCAAACACTACACTGGCAGATGGTTAAAAGAGCTGAGTTTTAAAAATAAGACCATGACTGTACAGGCGCTTCCTGGAAGGCTGGGACTTACAGCGAGCAGGTGCCCATTTTGATTGTGCTCTAAACTGAAAGTTAGGTTGCAGGGTGGATCCTGGATGGTGAATTTGGAAGGTCAGAACTGGTCTGCTTGGGATGCTGAGTGGTGTCACTCCTTCATAACAGATGCATCGACAAGAAGCCCTCAGACGGATCTGGAAAGCCAAGACAAAACCACGCAGATTGTTCAGTCATTTGCACACTAGTAAGCGCACCTTTATGTGAGGATCCTTTAGGGATAGTTGGCTTACTTATTCTACTGAGGAAAGTTTTCCCTGACTTATAACTGAACTTTACTGTCATGTGTCACAAGGCCAGTGTATGTCAGTTTGCAAAGCCAGGACAGGGGCCCACCCAGGCTGCTGCCATACCTGACATTCTCAGCCCTTAAAAAAAAAAAAAAATAGGGGCTGGTGAGATGGCTCAGTGGTCTAAAGCACCTACTTAGAACAAGCTTAGTCAAAGCACAGGGACCGCGGTTCAATCCCCCAGCACCACATGCCAGCCAGCCCCGCCCCCTGGTGGGCTGAGATGGCCACACACACACACACACACAAATAAATAAAAATTAAAAAAAAAAAAATAGTTCTCTGACCCAAAAGAGATATTTTAAGGCCAATGCCTGTCAAGCTTCAGGTGACCACATTATAAAGTAGAGGTGCCGGACCATTCAGGCTTTCTCATATGACCTATACTTGGGTGACTGGAGGTGTCATTTTGCCAGGAGTAACCCCAAGTTTTTATTTGTCCAGCCATTTATATTAACAGTGTCCTGGTTTAAATGATAAATTACATAGTTGACCTACCTATACGTGCCGATTTATATACCTCACAATAAACCCCATTTGTGGAGCTCTGGGAACCAACCAAACGGACAGTCTGGTACACTCTGAAATGCTGTTTTCCCCATCTTGACTCTGTCCTCTGTAAGATTCATTAATACAAACTTTTATAAAAGGCCACTCCCTGAGGAGTTCTGGAAAGCCAGTCAATAAAGGCAGACCACAAGGCCTCCCTCTGGAAAATGGTTTCACAAAACTGTCAAGAAGCTGTTTGATCAAGCCAAGATGTGGGGGGCCAGCAGGATAGCTCAGCGGACTGAACACCCCCTTAGACAAGCGCAGAGACCGGGTTCAGATGGCAGGGACCATCTGCCATGCCAGCCCTGCCCCCGGGGCATGCCTGTGATCTGGGTGCTGGGGAGGCTGAGCCAGGAGGATCACTATGAGTCTGAGCTGCAGACCAAATACATAAAAAAAAAAGATGTGGGTATGTTTTGCCAAGGCCCGAGGTGAGGCCGTGTGGAAGGCAGCTCTGTGGAGCTCACATCTGATCTTGGTTGGAGGTGCAGCTCAAGTAGTTGGTTTCGGGAAGGCTGCTGCTTCCAGCCCCACAGGAGGCCAAGTGTCAGGAAGATTGTTCATGGAGCCAACAAAATGTTCCCACAGCCAGTCCAAGATGCTTGTCCTCCAAGGCCACCTCTCAGGGCTGACAGGAGCCTGCATGAGGCTGCCTCCTGGAGAAAAGTGGACACAACAAACAGAACACTTCTTGTTCTTTCTTTTTCTGAGACAGAGTCTCACTATGCATTTCAGGCTGGTCATGAGCATACTTGGTAGCCCAGGCCTTGAACCTGCCTCAGCCTCCTGAGTGCTGGGTTTACAGACATGCTCCACCAGGCCCAGCTTGTTTCTTTATTGTTTTTTTTTTAAACCTGGAAGATCGATTTGTAAAACTTAAGGCAAAATCCAGTTCCACCTGACCATCAGGTAAACCCCAGGCTCTGAGGAGGCAAGACTTTTAAGACAGGTCACAGCCTACTTTGGAAGCATGTTTTGTGAATCTGGATCTGGCTCCTCCCACAGCTGTTTGCTGTGGCAGCTGTTGAAAAGATGAACCATGAGAGGTTCTGGGAACTTGGACGCAGCCCGTAGGACTGATGAGGCCGACGTGCCATTTCTCCATGGGAAGCTGCTTCATGCTGCCAGCGCAAGGCCCCGTAGGAGACTGGTGTTGTCAGATGAGTCATGAGGCCATCAGGAGGCCCTTTCAAGTAGCCCTGGGGGCATCTGAAAGCAATTTTGCAAACGTGTCTGTATACTTGGCCTTCAGTTCCTACGCTAAGGTCAGCTATGTTAGGCATTCACTGAAGAAATCTGCATTTATGGGAAATGAACATTTGAGGCCTGAAGCCTTTGGGTGCTTGAGATGAGATCTCTCCATATTGCTTTGTAAGACTCACTTAACACATTAAAGCTGACCCAGGGGCCAGCAGGGAGGCCAGGGAGTGCCACCTGCCCTCTGCCTGTGGCTGGAATGGATAAGACCATGCTGGGAGGTTGGACCGAGAACCTATCCAAGAAGACTTTTCTAGGCCAACAGAAAATATTTATGAGACTTCCAGGAGGCTGGCCCTAGAAACCATCCTGGTGGAGGGGGCCAGACACAAGGGCCACTGAGCTCTCCTCCCCATCTGAGCAGCCTCGGAAGAGTTTTCAGTGTGAGCTCAGGGCTGACCAAGGCCCATAAATACCAGGTCTAAACACCCGGCACAGCCACGGGACGCGCTAGGCAGATGCTGCCGCAATGCAATTTCAAACAGACTGCTTCCTCAGCCTCTTGTCTTAGACACTTTTCTTGTTGGAATAAAACAGTGGCAAGAGGTTCTTATCTCTAGAATGGGTACACAGCCCTCCCTTGCAGACTAAGCCAGGTCCTCAGGCCCTTCCGCGCTAGCTTTTGATCTAAGCCCCTCCATGAGGGCTTAGGTTTGGGAGCCACGTTGTCTGAGTTTATCATCTCAGCCCCGTGGCTTTACTAGGTGATTTGCCTTGGGCAGGTTCTTTCTCTGCCTACATTTCCTGCTCTTGGAAGTGAAGGGGATAAGACCATCTCAGATTCTGGAGGAATTGAGAGTGATGGATAAAGTTCTTCCGGCATCCCTGGTCTGTAGTGAATGTTACAGCTGCCCAGAGTCACTGTGAATGTTAAGAATGAGGCGAGCTGGGTAAACTCCCAGTACTCTGCCGGCTATTGCTGTTGCCATGCCTACTGAGTGGAAGGTGGGAGGCAGGGGGCTAAGATGAGCCCAGCAGCAGGGGTAGGGACAGGTAGGCCACCTTTCTTCAGCATGGACCTGCTTCCGCGTCAGCTGCTGGCTCCGTGGCGCACATTGGCGCTGTCCTACATTTTTCTGTGAGTCAACAGCTGAGGGCACTATGGTTCAAATGTGTGTCTGAGAGTTGAAAACCTGATCCCCAGGGCCGAGGTGCTGAGAGTTGGAACCTCTGGGAGGGTCCTCTGGGACGTGCTTGGCCCGTGGGGGGCTCTGCGCCCCTGGTAGAGTCATCCAGTCATGGGATGATGATTAATAGGTTACAGAAGGGGTTACCCCAGAGGGGGCCTGCTGTTATAGAAGCCAGTTTGGCTTGTGAGCCCTCACCACGTGATGCCTTGCACCTGCCTAGACTTTCAGCGTCCCCACCAGTGGGACGTCCCTTCCCCAGGTGCCACTGCCACGCTTTCAGGGTCCCAGCCTCAAAGCCATGAGCTAAATAAAGCTCTGTTGTTTATAAATTACCCAGGGTGCGGTGTTCAGTTACAGCGACAGAGTGTCTGAAACCTGGATGGGGTGTTCATTAGATCCCTTGTGGCCTGTCAGGTCATAAGCGCAGTGGGTTTCAGCAGCATGTGTTCGTTCCACGTGGGTCCAGGGTGTGGGTGCAGCTCAGCACAGTCCTCCACACCAGGGCCTCACAGAGCTGCCATCCTATGTCAGTGAGGATGGAGTGCTCATCCAAGGGCTCTTCCAGAGAGGAATCCGAGCTCCAGGATCTGGGGCAGGATTCCGCTGCTGGGGGCCAGGGAGCAGGGGGCCTAAGGGTCCTCACTCACTGTTGGCTGGGGATCTCACACATGTTTCTGTGGTGTGGGCCTCTCCTGTGTGCTGAGGGTCAGCGCTGTGTTCAAGCCGAGTAGACAGGGCCCCCCCCAACAAGGTGCCAGTGAGAGGGCAGCATAACCTACTCACACAGCGGTGTCCTGTCTCACTCAACCTTTGCTGTCGACGAGGAAGAGGCCCGTCCCTTCCTGCTGCTGCTGTAACACAGCATCACAAGCATGGGGTTGAGAACCACACAGATCTACCACCTTATGGACCTGTAGGTGGAAGTTTGACGTGGGTCTCGCTGAGCTAAAATCAGGTCTCCGTGGGGCTGTGTTTGGGGCTGTGTTCCTTTCTGGCGCCTGAAAATCCCTTGGATTTTTCTCAGATTCCACAAATTGTTCACATTCCTCTCAGCTTGTGTCCCCCCTCCTGTTGTCAAAGCTAGCAGTGTTATATGGCTCTGACCATTTTTCCTCTCTTTTTTTTTTTTTTTTTTTAATTTTATGTATTTGGTACAGGGTCTCACTACACAGCTCAGACTCATAGTGACCCTCCTATTTTCAGCCTCCCCAGCACTGGGATTACAGGTGGGTCCCACCATGCCTGCTCTTGGTGGCTCAACGCAGCCAGGGTGGGGCCAGCACATGTGGAACCGGGAATCAAACCCAGGTCCTTGCACTTGCCTAGGCAAGCACTTAGACCACTGAGCCGTCTCCACAGCCCAGCTCTACGAAAATCCTATGTTGCTTCCCGTCCGACTTTAGCTGGGAGCCTTAGAATTCTTCTAAGGGCTCACGTATTATCATCCAGGGAGTGCAGGGTGATCTTCCCATCTCAAGGTCTCTGTTCACAACGTACCTGCAGAGGCCCGCCCGCCATGCCAGGTAACGTTAACATCGTCACAGCTTCTGGGGACTAGGTTATGCACGTGTGTAAGGAGCCAGCATGTGAAATAATAGTGAAGGTGGAAGTCCCTGTGTTCGGGCAGGCTGATGTGACAGGCATCAGCCCTTGGCTGGCTGAACGCACTCATTTCTCGCCCACGAGCCATTCCAGCGTGGAGGCCGCTGCTTGGGTGGCCTGCCCGGGCCTCTCCTCCCCAGCTGGCAGGTTCCGGTCTTCATGCAGCTCTGTTATCCCCCGGGGCCTCGGAGCCCTTCGGTTGCAGCCCGTGGGCAGGGCAGGTGTGTGCGGGTGCTGTGGGAGGCAGGGGGCAGGCCTGGCAGCAGCGACATCGCTGCTTTGACGCCAGCTAGTACTCAGCGTGGTTTCGAGCGGCAGCTAAGCCCAGGAAATGCCTGTGTGTCCGGAAGAAGATGAGAGAACTTTGTAAGGCTAGTGCAGGGGTTGGCAAGCTACGTACGGACCACCATTGCTCTTGTGAATAAAGTTTTATTGGAACACAGCCATGACTAGCGGTTGCTGTGTGGTGTAGGGTGGCCTACGTGCCGAAGTGACGGAGCCGAGGTCAGAGTGTCTGTGTGACCTGTAGCCTGTACTGTTTTTTACCATTCCCCGCATAAGGCATTTTCTACAAAAAGCATGAAGGATGCTGTCATTCAGCATCTGTGAGGCAGAGGATGTGTCTCTCCCTGTTCTCTGTTGCTGAAGAGATGAGGTCCATTTGTCTCACAATTCTGGTGGCTGCAGAGTCCAGGCAGCGTGGCTCCAGCCTGTGGTGCGGGCCCCCAGCTGCAGGGCACTGCGCTAGGGACGTGAAAGGGAGAGCAGGGCCCAGCAAAGGGGCCAGGCGTGCAGGCGGCCGCACGTCATAAGCTGCTCTCGTGGTAACCAGCCCGCCGCTGTGGGGTGGCGCTAACACCTTTTAGAGTGGTGCCGCCGGGCCAGGGAGATGGCGCAGTAGAATAAGCACTTGCCTGGCAAGTGCAAGGGCCTGAGTTCAATCCCCAGTACCGCAAAAAAAAAAAAAAAAAAAAAAAAGGTTTTGGCGATACAAAGGAAGGACCATTTTGTATCTGTATATGCAGAATAGTTAGGATAGATATACAGCTACTTTCGCTTAATTCAATGAGAAGAAAGATTTGTGCTAAAATGTTTGGACAGGATATCCTTTCTGCATCTTGTACTACAGATAACCACTAAGAAGACAACAATGTACAATGTATTAATTATTGAAACTGTCCTATTAATCAGTTTTGAAACTGTCTCATTGATACTTGTTTCTCAATAAAATAAAATAAAAATAGAATGGTGCCACCAGTGACCTCTCGCTTCCCATCAGGCTGCGCCTTTAAAGGTTCCCCCATTCTCAGCACTGCCACCTTTGGGACCAAGCTTCTAACAGAGGAGCCTTTGGAGGCCGGACCACCTACCTGCCACGGCAGCGTCACAGCTGGCAGGGATAGGTCTGCTGCGCGAAGCACGCGTAGAGAACACACTTGTGTGTGAGCAGCGGTAGCTGCCTTCTGGTGGTGGCACGTGCCGCCGTCCGTTCACAGGGCCCAGGCTAAAGCCCCAGAAGCAGCGGATCAGACGCTGTTCCTTTGGGCACAGGCTTTTCTTCCAGGTAGCTTCTGAGCTGGCTGGTTTTCGGTAGCTACAGTAAATGCCTCCTGTGAATCAGTTTTAAGAGGAAAAGTTTACTTTGGCTGGTGGCTTGAGAGGTTTCGGTCTGGGGTTGTCTGGCCCCACTTCTTTGAGCCCGTGGCATGGTGGGAGTGGTGGAGGAGGCCTCTTCACTTACAGGAAGTGGGCTGGGGCCCCTGTGTCCCCTTCAAGGGCTCTCCAGGCAGTGACCCAACTACCCCTGCCTTGGCCCCCTCTTCTGAGGGTTTCTCCATAGTGCCACAGTTAAGGACCAACTCTTGAACACAGCAGCCTTCGGGAGGCACCTACCCAAACCTCGGCACTGCCTGAGGAGGTACCCAGTCAGCTCCCTCTTTGCGTGCCTGTTCTGAGCCAGACTGAGCCTGCACGCTCTGAGGAAGTGGGGAAATGAGATTGTTCCGCCCCCTGAAGAGCTCACACTCCAGTACCGGAGACAGCCGTGTAAGGGGCTAGTCATACATGTGTCCCATGACAGGTGCTGTCAAGCCCAAGGGCCCGTGGGGCACAAAACATTGCTGGAGAGTTCCACATAGCTTCACATATGCCTGAAAGGTTGGGTAGGAGTTCTTCAGGCAGAGGAGGGCTGTTGGAGGCATTCCAGGTGAGGACAGAATGCATGCTGCTCTGAGCAGACAGCTGTCCACAGTCACTGGGGACCAGGCATTGTGCCAGAGCGGTGCATACAGGCAGAGGGGGCCCTGTGCTTTCGGAGTTGTGCCTGCAGACAGCATTGCAGGTGGACTGCGGGCTCGGTGCCATGTCTCCTACTCTTGTCCCTCCCAGGTGCTGAGCTGTCACAGCTGACCTGGGGCACATGGCAGAAGGTACCGAGGAGCCTGGAGATGCCCTCTGGGAGGCCCTCGTGGCACTCCTGCCATCCACAAAGGAGGACCTGAAGCTGGACCTTGGTGAGAAGGTGGACAGAGGCGTGGCGCTGCTGCTGCGGCAGGTGGTAGGACTCTTCCACGGGGGCCGACGGGCCGAGTGTCTGCAGGCCAGTGAGGCCGTCCTGGACTACGCATGGGAGAGGCTCAACACCGGCCCGTGGCAGGACGTGGACAAGGCCTGGCGGCAGGTGTATGCCTTTGGCTGCCTCCTGAAGGCCCTGTGTCTGTGCCAGCCACCTCGGGAGCCCACCGCTGTGGCCGCAGCCCTGCGCGTGTGTGACATGGGCCTGCTGATGGGCGCAGCCATCCTTGGGGACATCCTCATCAGAGTTGTGGCTGTCCTCCAGGCGCACTTGGTGTCGGGGAAGAGGCCTGACTGCAGTCCTGGCCAGGAGCTGCCCAGCTTGAAGGTATCTGGGGAGTGCGTGACCACCTACACCGAGTGTCCCACAGCCCTGTGTTCGTGGAATCGTCACATGTCTTTGTCATGTGGCAAGACTGTGATTCACAGTCCTCCTAGTCCTGTGCCTGAAGTTAGTACCTCCATTGATTTGAGGAGTAGAGATGCTAGGTCCGTATTGGCAAAATAGAACAAAAATATGTTTGCGGTTTCCACAAAAGTAGTGGTGTTTCAGGAGGAAGAGGAGGAGGGAGAGGAGAAGGAGGAGGTGGGGGAAGAGGAGGAGGGAGAAGGTAGGAGCTTTGTGATCCCAAGAGAGGCTCTGTCCGGGGCCTCGTGGCAAAGCCAGCCTGCGCTTGGCCAACTTGCCCCAGCCCCGCGTCCCCTCGTGGGCCTGTGCGGCGCGGGCCCCGTGGAGTCTGCCATGAGCTGCCTGCTGTGTGGTCCTTGGGGGGTGCCTGGTGTTAGATGATGTCTTGGTTAGCTTCGCCTTGCTGAACAAAACATCCGACGCCCACAAATTAAAGGAGAAAGGGTTATTTTAGCTTACAGTTTATCGCGGTCGGTTTCAGTCCAGAGTTGGCACGTTCTGTAGCAGAGGAGGAAGAAGGGCCCATGGCACTGCAGCAGGATGCAGCCCAGCTTCCTTCCTTCCCTGTTCATTTCTCCCAGGCCACAAGCCTGTGGCTGGTGCCCCCGACGGCCAGGGTGAGCGTCTCTCCTCAGTAGGTCCGTCCCCCACACCCGGAGCACACTGGACCCGCTGGAGGGCTAACCGGTACCTCACCCGTGACCCAGCCCCACCTGTGGGCCAGAGGCTTCAGGGGGACATGGAGATATGAGCCAAAGCAGATGTCTGTCCCCAGAAGTCCCCCGCAGGCCCTGCGCACAGTGAGCCCAGATGGTACGGAGCCTGGGCTGACGGAGGCCTCCCCCCTTCTGGCATGCAGTTCCTGCCGTGAGCCTTGGTCTCCTTGTCTGCAAAGTGGGACCCTGCTAGTGGAGGCTCGCTCCTCGGCGCTCTCCTGCGTTTTTAGTGTTCTCCACAGCGTTCTTTTCTGTATAAGAACAGTGCAGACGGATGCCAGAAAACACATAGTCGTGTCACAGAAGGAAGGAAATCTTGGGGGGGGGGGGTGATGCAGAGAGACTGGCTTTGTCCTTTAGGAGAGAATGACTCTGTCAGAAAAGGAGCCAGCCCCGCAGGATAGTGACGGGGACCTCAAGCAGATGGCTCTCGGGCACAGACCTGCTAGGATCCACGCTGGGAAACATCCCGGAGGGTCAGTGAAGCCACCGCTGCTAGTGGAGGTTGTGGGCGGGCCCAGCGTGCAGGGTGCGGTGGCAGCGTGTGCTGGTGGGCTCTTTAGAGGGCAGGACAGATGTGCAGGTCAAAGGACAAATATCTGTCCCCTTTGGCCCTGGGTGGTGGCCTAGTCACTCTCCTCTGATCCCCAGGAAGCATGGAGAGGGCCTTCTGCCCACAGCAGGCCTGGCATGGGGTGTGCCTGCCCCAAAGACCTGCAAGTGTGGGCTTTGCCCAGGTCCATCTTCACACACTGCCCTCCACCTGTGCCTGGCAGGTGTCTCAGCCTCCCTGCACCTCTGCCAGGGCCCTTGACAGTCCGAGGCGGCTGCTCCTCCGCCTCTGGGTGAGCTGGGCTGGGGTGTGGCCCTGAGCAGTTCCACTCCTCCCTGAGCTCACACCCCTCGGGAGCTGTGTGCCCATTTCTCCTTCCCTTGGGAAGGTGGGGGCTGCTTCCCACCGGCTGGCCACCGAGGTCCAGAAAATGTGTGTAGGTCACAGCCACCGTAGAAGACTGTGGCAGCAGAAGGAGCAGGGAGGGGACACCTGCCAGCCAGTGGCCCTGGGATGTGGTGCCCCATGGTTCACGGCATGAGGAGACAGGCCCGGGGCAGTCCAAAACTGGCTCAGGCCCCTTGCAGGAAGGCCTCTCAGTGGAGACATTGCAGGGAGCAGTGACAGTGTGGAAGCTGCTGTAGAGAAGGCGTTGGATGCAAGCTCCCGGGTCGTGACCATGGTGTCCCCAGCTGTGAAGGTTGGGGAGAGGACGCACGGGCGAGAGCCCATGTTCCACAGTGGACTTTGGGATCCGAAGTCTCCTCAGTGCAGAATCTCCACGACAGCAATGTGCTACTCTTATAAGTGAGCAAAGATCTTTCACAGAATAGAAAAAGAGGGCCTTGATTTCATGGAAGAAGACAGTAGAAGAGCAGTTGCACATGTTGCATTGCAAGTGACACCCGAGGCACGCTGCTGCTGACGCCAGCTTTTGAATTTCTGAGTCAGTCACTGTTGTTTCTTTCAATTTTAAACAGAAAGCGAAGCGTGACCACGTTTCTGCTCCCGACATGAGGTCAGAAAGAGCAGTGCCCCGGCTCCGCTGTCCCTCCCTCCAGCACTTCAGAAAGTACTTCCTGCTCCCAGGGAGGCCTGTGGTCTTGGAAGGCGTGGCCGACCACTGGCCCTGTATGAAGAAGTGGAGGTGAGCGGTTGCCACAGGCCCGGGAGGGCCCTCCCCGCTCTCAGCACCCCCAGGGCCCCCTGAACTCCTCCTCCTGCCACCCGCAGCCCACTGCAGCGCCCCACAGTCCCTGTGCTGCCAGCCCTGGGGTTCACTGCCTAGGGGGAACCGAATCAAGGAGAGGCAGCCTGAATGTTCGCTCGAGCGTGAGAGCCGTCCCTTCTGCGGCTGCTGAGCAGTTCAGTGCTGCCCGAGCGCTGATCTCAGAGTTAAGTCTGTCATCAGCTGTCTCGGAGTGTACAAGAGGATGTGCATACTGCTGTGTGCGTGTGATAATGGGACTCGCGCTCAGGGCCCACCCACTGCACTACATCCCCTCACACGCGCACATGCGCACACACACAAACACCCTTTTTTGAGACAGGGTCTCACTGCCGTTCAGGCTGGCCTTGCGCTTGCCGCGTGGCCCAGGTAGGCCAGTGGGGAGCAGAGCGGCCCACAGACCAGATCTCCTGAGTCTGCACCGCTGCCCAGTACTGTGTCTGGCCTTGGTCTCCACGCCTGCGTTTCCGTGTCAGCACTATGCAGGGTGACGTGGTCTCCGTGGCGAGAGGGTTCTGTGAGTACCATAGAGCCCCCTGCACACATGGCCGCTGACGGCCAGGCGCGGATTTCCCGCAGCCTGGACTACATTCAGGAGGTGGCTGGCTGCCGCACGGTGCCCGTGGAGGTTGGTTCCAGGTACACGGACGAGGACTGGTCTCAGCACCTCATGACCGTCAGCGAGTTCATCAGCAAGTACATCACGAAGGAGGTGGGTGACGGGCGCCTTGTCACTCCCTTAATGCCCCTGACTGGATACTTACAGAGGGTTGAGTGCTAATTTTATGGGGTTGTTGTTGTGTTGTGGCCCGCTCAGCCTGCCCTGGGGGCGGGGCTGGCACAGCACGTGGTGCTAGGGATCCAAAGCTTACCTAGGCAGGCACATTAGACCACCGCGCTATCACACCAGCCCTGTTACGTATATTATTAAAAAACATATTCTTTAACAATGGAAAAATTACATATGCAGTGTCTGCATTTGTCACTTGGGAGTGCAGCCTTCGGACGGTGACCCACTTGGGCAGCCATGCTGGGAGGACATCACCAGGGTCCTCAGGCTCCCACCCTGTAGCCCCACTCTGCTTGGAGGGCCCTGGTCCCCTCAGCCCCGGGTGGAGGAGGCTAAGGAGGCAGGACAGAACAGGCCACGCCTGGGGCCTGGGGGCGCATCACCCGCTAGATGGCACCAGCGTGAGCGATGTCTGACCTGACTGACCAGGCCGTCCCACCTGCTTGCTCCTTTACTAGGCCAAGGATGTCGGGTACCTGGCTCAGCACCAGCTCTTTGACCAGGTGAGTCTTACAGTGCGCCGGCCCTCCCCCTCCCACCACCCGCTCCTTCCAGAGGAGGAAGCTGCGCATGGGTGCTGCCCCCCCACCCCAGAGGCTGAGGCACCCTCCTAGCGAGAACAGTCTCCTCCTCAACACAGGCAGCAGGCTGCAGTGGCGAGCCAGGCATGAGAGGCTGGGAGTGCCAGGCCCAGAGACACGGGACTAGGGAGGGCTCCAGTGTGCTTGCAGCAAGGGGAGGAGGCCTCTGGCAGGTCAGAGCAGAGGCCCCAGGTCTGAAATCCAGGTGTGGTAGGAACCCAGCAGCTGGGGAGCCAGGGGAGGGCGCAGGCCCTGGCCTGCTATGGAGGAGTGGCTGGCCTTGCCTAGGTAGTGTCCTTCCTATACCCCAGCACTGTCACCATCTCCCCACACCTGGCTTGGGCCAGGGAGACAGCTTCTGCCGACTGCAGGGGAGCTGGGTGGGCAGGGACGACCGTCCTGGGGACAGGTGCCCCACACCCCACGGTGTAGGTCGCTGCAGCAGCAGCAGCCAGGAGTGGTGTTTAGAAGAGCAGGGGGACAGGGAAGCCAGCGCAGATTTTATCTACAGCCAAGGCCCAGGGAAGCCTTTGAGCTCAAGTTGTCCTGAAATCCAGCAGAGCGGTGGGAACAAGCAGGTGCTCTGTGCCTGCTCTCGTGGGCCGGCGCTGAGGACATAGACCCAGCCAGGCCCACGCCAGGGTCTTCCTGTGGCAGGGTCCAGGGACAGGACACACAGCAGGGCTGGCTCCATAGACACAGGACACGGCCCAGGGAGCCAATGTGCAGTGTGTGGCCCAGAGGCAGCAGATGCACAGGTGGACACGGGGCGACAGGGACACTGCCTGGACCCCACAGCACTGCTGGCCTTGGCCACGTGAGGCCAAAGACACGGCCAGAGAGGCGGCCGCTAGAGGGCCCCAGGCAGGGCGGGCTGCACGCCTGAGCAGGACAGGGCTGAGTCCATGCCAGCAGCGTCACTGTGCTGCCCGGAGGCAGGGGCTGCCACCACAGGCTGCCACCTGTGCCCACCAGGGTGCCGCTGTGCCTGAGTTCAGCGTGCCAGGAGTGGGCAGTAGAGCCTCTTCCCAGCCTCCCACGCGTGCACCTCTCCTGCTTGGTGAAGGACAGTGCCTGCTACCCAGTGGCCCCACCTCATGACCCCAAGAGGCCAGCCTCTGCTCTGACTCGGCCTGCGGGGTACCGTACCCCCAGGTGCAGCCAGCCGGGGCCCTTAAGGCCACAGTCCTGGGACCAGGGCTGGCAAGCACAGGATGGAGCGCTGAGTTCACAGTTATTCTTAAGATGAACCAGGACTTGCAGGGGCTTCAGCCATGGTGGGCCCCTTGGGTCATCACTGAGGCCTGTCTTCAGCGCTTAGGCTCAGCATGGGAGAAGTAGTTCTCCTGCAGTCTCTGAATCTCTGAATCTTAGGTAAGCTTCTGAGGGTGAAATCCCCTCAGCCAGTCATCTTTCAGAACTCCTGGTGATGTCATCAGGAACAAATGAGCTTCTGCTCAGCATCCCTTAGGGCCAGATCTAGTGCCATCTGAGCTGGAAGTGGTGGAGGTAGGGGGCCAAGCTGCCAAGGGACCTGGGACCTTGGGCATAGCCTGAGGACCCCCTTCCCCACTGAGAACTCCAGGCCCTGAACCAGAGCGGTGGGGAGAGCAGCCTAGTCAGCCACGCAAGATAGACTCTCCGAGCCTGGAACAGCACCGCCAGGCCCTGGCACCCTGCAGGGACCTCTGGGCTCCCAGGAGGCCCTGGTTTCCTGGTCAGCAACCAAACTTCCGGCGGTGGGGGAGGGGATTCCTCCCTGGAAGCACCACAGGCCCTGGCAGCTCTGTGCCTTCCTCTCGGGCTTGGAAAATACCAGCAGGATTTCTGTAGTTAACTTACTTAAAATCCATCCATTGTGGCTTCCCTAGCAAATTTTGGAAAATCTTCCCTTTCAAAGATTGGGTAAATACCCAATCTAAATTTTCTTTTATTTTTCTTTAATTTGAAGTTTTAAAACATTTTTTAAAATTTAAATAGAAAAAAAGGACACAGAATTTGAAAACAAGGTAATAGGAAATTAACAATGGTTAATATATTCCGTGTTATCTTTAAAGTAGTTCTCAGATTACGAAGTGTAGCCATACAAAATTGACCAACTATTCTTTATAGTGAATAGAAATTAGTAATATATAGCGCCTGTTATATATACTAATATATAATAGGGGACCTGCCAGTTAGCTCAGTTGTTTAAGTGCCTGCTTAAGCAAACGCATTCAGGCTCAGGATGCTGTGGTTTGATCCCCAGAGCCTCATGGCTTACCAGACCTGCCCTTAAGGCATCCTGAGCCAGCCAAAACAAACAAATTCTTCCTGAAGGCCTGACAGGGGCCTGCTGTGCTGGCCCCACCCTGGGGTGTGCTGAGATGGCAATTGAGACTGGGTGTGGTGGTGCTTTCCTGTAATCTCAGCCAGCATGTAGGAGGTTGTAAACAGGAAAATCACTACCAGCACGAGTCCGATCTAGTAGTGAGACCCTGAACACCTGTAGACCCTTCCCTAAAATACAGGGAAAAAAAAAAAAAAAGAAATTTTAGTAATATAATTCTGTCTATCTAGAGATAGATAGATAGATAGATGATAGATAGATAGATAGATAGATAGATAGATAGATAGATAGATAGATAGATAAATTGTCTTTTTGAGACAGGGTCTCACTATGACGTTTAGGCTGGCCTTGAGCTCACTTCATAACCCAGGCTGGTCTCAAACTCACAACTCCTGCCTCAGCCTGCTGTGCGCTGGGATCGCAGGTGTGCACCACCACGCCCATATGCTTTTCCTTTCCTTTTCTCCTTTCTCCCCATCCCAGTTGTTCTTTCTGTTGCAGTTTCTTTTTTTTTTTAATTTTGTTTATTTGTGTGTGTGTGTGTGTGTGTGTGTGTGTGTGTGTGTGTCCAGCTCAGCCCACCAGGGGGCGGGGCTGGCTGGCATGTGGTGCTGGGGGATTGAACCGCGGTCCCTGTGCTTTGCTAAGCTTGTTCTAAGTAGGTGCTTTAGACCACTGAGCCATCTCACCAGCCCAGTTTCTTTCCCTTTCACAATATCTGTTGTACATTTTCCATCTTATTTACTCGTTTAGTTTCTTATGCTAGGGAGACAATATGATTTTTAATATGCAAATCTGATTTTACTTATAAATATGGTGTTAAAATGCATCCATTTATCTATAAAAGCCTCAAGTTTATCCTTCTTTATAGCTGAGTAATAGTTCATGGTATAAAAATACTACAACTTTTTATCCATTCCTCAGTTGATGGGTTGTTTCCAAGATTTGGCTATTAAATATTGTGCTGCTATAAACATGGATGCACATGTAGTGCTATGGTAGGTCTTTAATTCTTCAGGGAAAATACCCAAAAGGGGAATAGCTGGGTTGAATGGGACCCTCTAATTCTAGTTCTTTGAAGAATCTCCACACTGATTTCCACAATGGTTGCACCAGCCTATACTCCCACCAACAGTGGAAAAGGGTTCCTTTTTCCCCACAGCCCCTCCAGAATTTGTTATTGGTTGATTTTTGCGGAACTGGAGATTGAACTCAGGCCCTTGCGCTTGCCAGGGAAGTGCTTATTCCACTGAACCATCTCCCTGGCTCCCAAATGGTTGATTTCTTAATGACATCCATTCTTTCTGGGGTGAGATGGAATCTCAGTGTTGTTTTCATTTGCATCTCTCAATCAGTGATGTTGAACATTTTTTCATATATTTATTTGCTATTTGTATTTCTTCATCTAAGAAGTGTATATTCATTTCAGCTGCCAATTTTTGGATAAGGTCTTTGAATTTTGGGGGCCTGATTTGTTAATATTCTTTATATGTTCTAGATAGAAGTCCTTTGTCTAAGAGACAGTTTACTAAAAATTTTTCCCACTCTGGGTTTTGTCACTCTGTTAGTGATTTCCTTTGATATGTAAAAACTTCTGAATAAGATTAAATCCCAATTGTAGATCCTTTGAAGTATTTCCTATGCAGTTTAGTTTTTGCTCATGAACTGCCTCTCCTTGTCGTCAAGATTTCTATCTACTTTCTCTTCCAGTAGATTTAGTGTTTCCGTTTTAATATTTATATCTTTGATCTCTTCTGACTTAAGTTTAGTGCATGGTGATAGACGTGGGTCTGGTTTTAGTCTTCAGCATGTGGAAGACTAGCTTTTCCAGCGCCATTTATTAAAGAGGCTGCCTTTCTTCCAGTGAACATGTGTGGCCCCGTGGTCAGAGATACGGTGGCCGAGTGTATCTGCAGTTGTGTCTGCATCCTCCGGTCTGTCCACTGATCCTCAGGTCCACTTTTGCCAGTACCATGCTTACCTTAACCCAGCAGCTCTGTAGTATAATTTCCCGTGAGGAGCTGCGAGGCCTTCTGCCTTTCCTTCGTTCCACAGAATTGCCTTTGCTATTCTGCTACCCTTCTGGTACCAAATGAGTTTCAGGAATGTTTTCTCTGGTTCTGTGAGGTATACTGATGGTACTTTAATCAGGATTGCATTAAATCTAACGATTTTGGGAGTATGGCTACTTTTACTGTGTTCTTCATATGCATGAGCAAGGGATATCTTTCCATTTTCTGATACCTTCTTTTATCTGGTTTTACTGTAATTTTTTTTAAACATTTATTTATTTATTTTATTTAGTGTGGGGGGGCAGCTCAGCCCACCAGGGGGCGGGGCTGGCTGGCATGTGGTGCTGGGGGATTTAACCGCGGTGCCTGTGCTTTGCTAAGCTTGTTCCAAGTAGGTGCTTTAGACCACTGAGCCATCTCGCCAGCCATGTAATTTTCAAAGAAAATATTTCTTTAGAAAATAAACTGGTTTATTATTTTTAAGTATAAAGCACCAGTACCAGGTTTTAAAAATGAGTAAATCCATACCACATGGAAACAAAAATGAAAAGATTGCAACTCTTGGCAACTAATTCTGGTTTTATTCAGTGTGTCTAAGTTCGGGGTCCAGGCGGTAGTCCCCGCCCTGTGGGCCGTGGGCCCAGGCTGGGTCTGGACGCCCGTGTCTGCTCGCGCGCACAGATCCCGGAGCTGAGGCGGGACATCAGCATCCCCGACTACTGCTGCCTAGGCAGCGGGGAGGAGGACGAGATCACCATCAACGCCTGGTTCGGCCCGGCAGGAACCGTGTCCCCGCTCCACCAGGATCCCCAGCAGAACTTCCTGGCCCAGGTGGGAGTGGCTGCCAGCACGGGGCTTCGCTCTGCGACCCTGCCCCGTGGCCCCATTAAACAGCAGGCTCCTGAACCGAGAAATGAGAGCCGATAAAGGCAGGTGACGGAAATGAAATCAGAAAAGAGTTCCGCGGGGCCCTCGCCCCGCGCGGCTGCTTCCCGCTGCGCTCCTCCCGGCCGGCTGGCACAGGGGCAGCTTGGGGAGGGGGCCGCGGCTGCCAGGGCGCACTCTGCCGTCCCCCGCCCCCATCCATGCCCGACAGGCTGGAAGTGCGAGCCTGTAGTGGGTGGGGCACAGAGCTGCGCTGGAAGGAGCGGAGGGCCCGGGTGGGGGACACTCCCAGCGCCCCCGGCCTGCCCGGAGAGGCCGAGAGCCAGGTCTCAGGAGCCAGGCTGTCCGGTGTGACTTCAGGTGTCGTTTCACCCTCAGCTTCAGTTTCCCACTAGAAAAGTAGGGGGACAAGGAGGCACTGGTGAGGGTCGTGAGGAGTGCAGGTGACAACTGCAAGGCCGTGCAGAGCGTCCGTGGCCCATGCACGGTGGGGGGCCGACCAGGCCCGAGCACTGAGCGCCCCTGCCCGCAGGTGGTCGGCAGGAAGTACATCCGGCTGTACTCCCCGCAGGACTCCGAGGCGCTGTATCCCCACGAAACCCACCTCCTGCACAACACAAGCCAGGTGAGCACCGGACCCCGGGACAGCAGGGCGTGCTTCCCACGGCCCGCCGTGGCGAGAGCCCCACAGCGGCTTCTCTTGCGTCCTTCAGGTGGACGTGGAGAACCCCAACCTGGAGCAGTTCCCCAGATTTGCCGAGGCCCCCTTCCTGTCGTGTATCCTGGCGCCTGGAGAGATCTTGTTCATCCCGGTCAAATACTGGCATTACGTGCGGGCTCTGGATTTGAGCTTCTCCGTCAGCTTCTGGTGGTCATAGCCCTGCGAGAGTGGCAGGCCTGGGACATCACAGTAGTTCCTTAGGCGGTGGCCAGGGCAGGAGCCTCGCCCGGTAGGTCAGGCCACCCAGGCCGGGGCGGCTTGCAGGGGAGGCGGCCGAGCAAGCAGGAAGGACCCGGGCCCGCCAGCGCACGCTCACCGAAGATGACACCGGGAAGCGGTCAGAAAGCACGGCGTCAGCGCACCCGCTTGGTCCCAGCCTGCCTTTGGCTTGTCGCAGACTGCGGTGGCCTTTGGGCCCAAACCCCTCCCTACACAGTGCCTGTGTCCTCCAAAAGCAAGAGCAGCACCGGTCCTCAGAAGAGGCTTCGGGCTGTGCGCGGGTGGGCAGCAGAGCGGTGGCTGCCCTGCCAGTGACAGAGAGCATTGCGGGCGGGAGTTAGCTCAGCCGCAATCATGCTCATGGCCAGCGCGGGGAGCAGCGCTGGGCCCCGGGGGACAGGTTTGGGGGCACCCTCCCACACCCGCTCCAGCGTGGAGCCCTCGAGTCCCGCAGGGAGGCGTCCAGCTCTGTAAATGCGGGTTCCTTTTCCCGTTTGGCCTTTAAGGCTCCCTGGCCTGTGCGTGAAGACCAGCGGCCGCTCACCAGCGCCAGGGCAGTTTGTGCCCCACCCAGAGGCTTTCTCAGGAGTGTTGAGTTTCGAGGGCATCCGTGAAGTAAGGAGGGATTCATTACAACCAACCGCAAAGCAGCGACTGAAGACAAAAAACCCTAAAAGTTACGTCACGGAAATTTTATTTTAAAAACTCATGTAAATATGGTAAATATTAAATTAGTTTCTGTTCTTGGTAGCAATACATGCATGCTTTCTTTAAAAACGCGTCTCTACATATGTGGCCACGTGCACACCCCAGGGGCCGGCTCCACGAGTACCCGGGAGTGAAGCCGGGTGTTTAATATACTGTTTCTTGCTCTATAATTTCAGGGTTTTTTCACTAATGTGAGTGCACACAGAAGTTTGTGTAATTCTACTTTAAAATGCTTTCAACCAAATCCCACTGCTGCCTGTGGCAGGGCAGGCACCGGGAAGGAGGCCATACTGCAGTGGCAGAAAGTACGTGGCCTCAGGAGGGAGACCCACACTTTCACAGGGACACGTCCTGTGTGGAAAGTGCCACAGGAAGGTCACAGAAAACAACAGGTCGGGGAAGCAGAGGGCAGAGCAGGGCCTGGCTTCTGCAGGGCCAACACCGGCCCAGCTGGGACTCCCTCTGTTATAGCAGAGCCAAGAAGAGATGTGTGAGCTCTCTCAGCAGGGCCCTTAGCTGCGTCCTGTGCCCGTCCCCTCAAGGCAGGCCTCGTTCCCGGGGGGAGCGCGTCCCCACAGGCTCCCGCCCACTGGGTCCCTCCAGCTTCATGAGTCCCAGGCTCAGCAGCCAGTGTGCAGCCGAAGCCATGAAACCCCAGGGCCTGCTGGGGGCCTGGGCCCAGGAGAGGGCAGCCCAACTGTGCCGGCCAGGCCTCCAGCAGGTCAGAAGCCCCTTCCGGCCTGCACGGGTAACCCACCCACTTCCAGCAGAAGCGACAGCTGCAAGGCTCTAGATTCAGCCAGTGGCTGGGCCACTGAGGGGCCATCAGCTGCAGCTGGCAGGGCTGCTGCTGCCCCCAAACAGGGCTTGTCTGAGAGTGATCTGGCAGGCACCCGGAGCCTCGGACATTAACACATGGTGCGAGGCCTGGCTGCCTTGAGCACCTGCCCCTCGGCAGACAGGCAGCTGGAAGGGGCAATCTGGCCCTATAAACCAGGTGCGGTGCTGCTGGCAGTCCAGGTGACCTCTGCTTGGGCCAGATCCCCTTCCGGGGGGGCGGGGGGGTCTGCTCCAGCCACAGCTGCATGCGCACTCTGGTGGCACTGAACCCGGTGAGGCTCCTTCCTCAGGCAGAACTTAACCCCTGTGCAGCGCAGCACCCAGGAGCGCAAGAGGCACACAGTGGTGCACGCCTCCAAGGCCACAGAACGGGGCAGACGAGACGGGAGCAGGGAAGGGTGGGCAGGGATGTGGTTTTGGTAGTTGACAGTGGAACAGAGAGACGTGTGTGCGAGCAGGAGTCGGAACTGGCGTGAGTGCTGAGGACAGCTCCACTGCAGGCGGAAGGCCTGGGGCACGGGTGAGGGGGTGACATGTGCTCACTCCGCCACAGCAGGACGCAGCCCTGGCAGGGAAGGCTGGAGGCCCGGGAAGCAGGGAGCAGCTGGAGGGAGCCCAGCACTGACCGGGGCAGAGGGCGTGGAAGAGAGGCAGTGGCGGGCTCGGGTGTTGCACAAGGCCATGGGACTTCACGGGGTCCCAGCCAGGGAGCGGCTGGTGCCTGTGGACTGGTAACCACGGTGAAGGGCTGACGACTGGCACAAGTGGCCACATCCCCAGGGGCAGGGTGCTCAGGGCCTCGTGGTCACAGCACCTGAACTGCAGGAACTCGAGCCAAGCAGGAAGCAGGCTGGCCCAGGGGCCTTGGTTGTGTGCCTCTTACCATCCATTTCTCCTTCTCCAAGTGCCACCCTGGAGACCCCTCGACGCTGTGAAGGGTGGTTGCTGCCGGCAACACCGAGGGTACAGTGGAGGGAGCCTGGGGCTGACTCACTGCTCAAACGGGACACTCTCACCATCCAGACGCGAACGACTGAGGCCTCCTGCCTGCATCCACTCTGGGGACAGTTCCGAGCCATCTCCGGAGAAACCCTTTCCCCTGGCAAGGTCTCTGCTGCTTGCCTGGCTGGGGGGCCTTCTGGATGTCCTGCAGATTCTACCCTGCTGGGCAGGGTTGCATTGGTGGGGATGGGGGTGTGCGAGGCTCAGGACAGGAGTGGGAGGGACATCGCCAGCCAGCAGGTGTCACTCTGCTCCCACACCCCAGGCACAGTTCCACACTGTACTGTTACGAGTGGACCAAGATGAGGCATCCCTCCCCTCTCGGGAATCTGCACCTCCAGGCTGTGCAGGCAGCACCTCCTCATCTGGCCATGGCGCACAGGGACCGTCCTGCCCAGGGCACCGGGTCAGCCTGAGTGTCCTCAGCTGGATGTCCCACCCCGACCTGCAGCATCCGACCAGAGCTGAGAGTCAGAGACCCTTTCCTCCTCCTGACGGCGGGACATGAGTGTGACAGCAGGAGGTACCGTGCCCACTTCGTGCCCGTGAAGAAAGTGGCCGAGTTTTCTGGGAAAACACTTCACAGGCTTGAACGTGAAGCCAGCTGAAGGAGAAGGGAACAGAGGCAGGAACATGACTGCCTCTGATGTCACAGGAGCCACGAGACCGGTGACATAATCCTTTCCAGGACCCACTGCAGCACGAGAGCCACAGGTCTGCCGCCACTGCCACTGCCCTAGGCTGAGCCCCTCCCACAGGACCAGATGGCATCTGGGCCATCTTGGGCTGAATCTCTACACCAACTAAAGGATGCTGGCAAGCTGGGAAAGAGGCCAGGGGACCACAGCAGGATGGCAGGTGGGGTGGCCAGGGGTACAGGGCAAGGCTGATGCTCATGGGATGGAGGAAAGCAGAGGGGAGGGCACTGAGCCCCTTGCGAAGGGCGAGTCGGAGACATGAGGCGAGCCAGGGCCGGGGGCCACCCAAGGATCTTCCAGGTGGGGCTGCTGCCCTGCCTGGAGAATGAGCGCTCCGGAGTGGCAGGACCTGGCGCCAGGAGGCAGCTGCTGAGGCTGAGGGCTGGGGTCTGGCGAGGGCCATGGCAGGCAGACCAACAGGACGTTGGGGACAGCCTGTGGGTAGGGGAGCTGACTCCTGGGCTCCTGGTGCGGGGAGCCAGGTGAGGACCAGGTTGGCCTGCCTGTAGGCCTCACACAGCCTGGGCCAGAGGAGGATCTGGACCACAGGAGCCAGGGACACCAAGTCCCTGGGCACCTACCCAAGGCTGGCACAGAGCCCGAAGCCCCTTAGCAAGGACAGCGCCACCGGGCCGCTGTTGCAGAGTGGGAGGAGCCTGCTGGCCTCACAGCTGGGAGCCAAGCCGAGGACTCAGTCATCACAGCAGCCAAGAGCAGGCGGCCAGGCGCACGCCCCGCACGCCCCCTGCGAGGCTTTATTGTAAAGCTGTCCGAGGAGCGCGGAGCAGGGCGGTGGGCATGCCAGTGCTGTGACCAGCCCCTGCTGGCACAGGGGTAAGGGCCACTCAGGCGGAGCCAGCCTCCTGCAGGCGCGCAGGCTAATGCTGCCGGGACCGCTGGGACTTCCGGCTGGACTTGGAGACGGCAGTCTCCCTCTCCTTCTTGGGGTCGAAGACCTCTGCACAGAACAGGCAGGAAGAGAGTGAGCTGCGGGGCCGGCCGCGTGTGCGCCCTGGTTCCCATCTGCCACTGCCTCCCAGGCTGCAGACGGTCCATGCCAACATGCCTCTGCGTCCAGCACAGCCACAGCAGCCTCGGCTTCCCATCCCGCCTGTCACCAGCCCTGGCCCGCAGGCCCCCGGGGTCTTCTGTCCCGCCAGCCCGAACCCCACGCACCCAGCATGCCAACCTGGAATCTCGTGGGGCCAACAGTCATTACAGTGCGGGCAGTGCGGATCGGGGTTGGTCTGGAAGTACCTGGCCACGCAGGGCAGGTGCATTCTGATGCCGCAGGTCTCGCAGCTCTGACCCTGAAAGAAGCCGCAGCGTGGAGCCTGCACACACACCCTGAGGGAGGTTCACAGACCCTGAGGGGCCTGCGAGATCTCAGGACCCGGGTCAGCACTGCTAACAATCCCCAGGTCCTCAGCTAAAGACTTCTGAACACATGAAGGGAGCGTGGTGGCGCAAGCCTGTAACCCCAGCACTTGGGGGCTGAGGCCAGAGGATTTCTATGAGTTTGAGGCTAGCCTGGGCTACATACGTGAATTCAACACCGGCCTGCACTGCAGTGAGACCCTTCCTCCAAAAAAAAGGTCAAGGTACCTTCCCAGGGCCTGTTGCTGGGTACTTCAGCAACTATGCAAGGCCCTGTCTCAAAAATAAAGTGGGCTACAGACAGAGCTCAGTGTGAATGCTCGGGGTTCAACCCCAGTGCTGCGACCACAGCCTAAGAATTCTGAATCCATAAATGCAGGCAGGAGCAGCTGAAGACGGTGGATCAGCCAGTCTCCAGGGCTCCCTGCACACGGAGCCGATCCATGTCCCTGGGGTAGCCAGAGACACGGATGGGACACGGATGGCCACAACATGGCAGGAGGCAAATGGCGACATGGATCATAAACTTGAAAACGATGTGCGCACTTTGCCTAGCAATACACTCCTAGGAATCCCGTGGCGGGATCCCGCGTGCCCGGGCGTGTGAAGGGCCCATCACGGAGACTCTTGTTATAAACAGGTAAAACAGGCCTTAAAGCACGGTGTAACAGAGATGGCTCGGAGAAACAACCCACACAGGAAATGACGTTGTCACACAACTGCCACGACAGTGCCCCTTACACAGACCAGCAAGAGCCCTCTGGGCAAAGTGAAATAAGGAAGAGCCGCGGGTCAGACCTGACGCAGGCGGAGCTGAGCACTCCGCAGGCGGCTGCGTGACAGCCCCACCCTGTCACAGAAACAGGCCATGTGCTCCGGGAAGGGCCGCTTGTGCCCACGCCACCCTGTACCTGGATGAGGAGGCCGTGGCAGATGTTGCAGACCTTCACAGCATCCGGGTACATCTCCCGGATGTACTGCTCCATCTCCAGGATGGCCCGGCCATGCAGCGTGAACTCCCCTTCCTTCTGCAGGGACAGAACGCGTGGCAGCCGTCCTCAGCCAGTGCCTCTGTCCCTCTGGAGCCCCACAGCCCACAGCCCAGGAAGACGACATCTGGGTGCTGCTCCCAGCCACTGAGGGTGTTCACCAGCCCAGCCAACCGCGTCAGTGATACCCCCCGAAAGACCTTCAGGGCAGGGAAAAGCGAGCGAGGTAGAAACCTGCAAGACGGGAGCTGGAGGGTCCCTTGCTCCCTAAACCCTCCCAGGATCTTGCCATCTGACAGATGTATCCCTCCAGCTGTGGGTGAGCCCTGCCATAGGCTCCAGGGGGAGGACACTGCCTGGCTAAGAGAGACCACCTCTCCTCCCCCACCACACCCCGGTGCCCTGTGGCGAAGCGGCACCACCACACGGTGACTGAGATCACTTTGCAGATGAGGCGGGAGGGCATCAGAGGACAGGGGCAGGAACCTGGTCACAGCATGGGTGGAAGGGCCCACCTCTGAAGCAACTGGGTCTCCTGAACCCCTTCAGGAACCAGACACTGCCTGTGTGGCCAGGCCTCCGCCCATCACAGGCAGTTAGAGCAGGAGAGCAGAGCAGGTATGTAGCCTCTGCCAGCTGGCTTTAGGTTTTGTCACCATCAACTACTGCACTGGGGCACAAGCCTGATGCCCATTCTGACCACACCCGACTGCCTTCCACAGGGGCAGCAAGGAGGTACCAAGGTGGGGGTGGCGGGGGAGGCCGACCGCCCAGGTCTCGCAGGGAGATGGTACCAGGGAAGAAGGAACCCTACACAGGGGCCTGGCACTCCCTCTAAGAACTGAGAACCCCTCAGATCTTTACAGTCAGCAGCACTTGTGACTCTGGAAAGTCTCGGGCCCACATGTGGCTGCCACCCCTCAGCAGGCCCCCCACAGCACCCAGCAGCCCTCACCTGGTGTCCAAAGGGAGAACAGGGCCTGGACTGCTCCTCAGGGCCCAAGCAGCAAGCAAGGGGAGTCCGCCAGTGCCACCAGGGCCAGTCAGCATTCCCAGCCCTGCAGAGCTCCCCGCCAGAGCAGCTCACAAAGTTCCCCCAACTCAGGGTCACCCCTGGAGGCTCTCTGGCACCAGCAGGCCTGGGCACAAGGGCTGCGCCAAGGGAAACCCTCCTCCAGTGACCAAGCCTTTCCTTGCCACTTCCCCACCTGTCGGGTTGCCCGCTCAGCGAGCCTTATGGAGCATTTGCAGGTGGCACACGTCCTGCAAGGGGCAGTCATGATGGGGGAGGGCATCCCCTGTCCTTAAGGATCCTGCATGGCCCAGGGCACAGAGCGCGGAAGGGGACAACGGCCAGTCCTGACCTGAGCTGCCTGAGAACACTCCCTGGTACGGAGCCCACTGAATCCAGGCCTGACTGTGGGCTGGGCCACCCACACAATGCCAGTGTAACCAGACCACTGAGCACCACCGGCTAAAACCCAAGCTCACAGACATGGCTCCCAGCCTGCCCACACTCTCTCGGACTTTCCTGCCCTTCCTCCTAACAGGCACCCCAGGATCAGGATTCAGGGAAGACTGCAGGGGAGGCTGCCCCATCCACACGTACGCAGCTCGGAATGCTAGAGGAGCCAGAGGCCCGCTCCCCTGGAGGAAGCAAAGGGCTACTGGGGTCACATGCACACATCCTGTGCTGCAGACTAGGGCCAGTCCTGCAACGTCATCCCAGAGGGGTGCACCCCACCTCTTGCCCACCCAAGGCCAACACAGCCCACCCTACAAGCACACAGCACACGGCAGGGCACAGAGCCAAGCGAACTGGGCTCACGTCAAGCTCAGCCTGGGCTTCTTTGAAACGGTGCTGCCTTCCCAGAGGGAGAGCAGAACCCTGGGGCTGCTTACCTGAGCAGCCTGTCCCTGCTCAGCCATCCGCCCTCCCCACATTTCCTCAGCCCCTCTCCAGGGTCCCATGCTTCCTCTCGGCTCCTGAAGGGCCGCTGTACCAGAGTGACCCTGGCCCTGGACGACACCAGCTGGGATGCACGCCTTCTGTGTGTGCCGGAGCCTGGCACTGACTGCCCGCTGCTGTCCTGCTCCGGCTTGCACCCCAGCTGGCAGTTAAGTGCCCCAGGTCAGAAGAGGTGTGGGAGGAAAGGCCTGAGCCGAGCCCCAGACAGTACCTCGATCAGCCACTTGCTCTGCACGAACTTCTGCAGCACCTGCTCTGCTTCCTTCTTCTTCATCTTCTTGCCTTTCAGCTGGTCGACTAGGTTCAGGATGTTTGTGGAAGATGCGAAGCCCGTTTCTGAGTCGACGATCAGCTCCAGCTGGAAGAGATTAGGGCCCGTCCGCCTCATGTTGGCAGAAATGGCTTTTACCATCAGTCCGGCTCACAGCGACACAGCAAAGCAGCCCCAAGCCCGGCAGCCCTGCGCCTGATGTGGCGTCTGGAGAATCAGCATCACCCCAAGGCCTGTGCGCATGTCCTAGGGTGCAGACTCCACAGCCAGTCCTGCGATGGCATCCCAGAGAGGGGTGTACCCCACTCTTGCCCCCACCCAAAGGACAGAAGGTGAGGAACAAATGGCTGAAGGAGGCTGGGGGCTGGAGCAAGGCTGGGGCAGAAGGAGACGGTGAGGGCGGGGCGGGGGCAGGCACCATGGAGGCCCTGAGGACGCGGCCGGCCGAGCAGGTGGGGCCTCCCGCAGGCACATGCACCGCCCCGCTTCCAGAGCCTGGCTCTCAACCGGTGCTGCTGACAGCCCCTGGAAGATCTTTAAAACAAGGGACCTGGACCCCAGAGTTGGCCTCCGAAGAGCCGGTGGGGGCCGAACTCCGGCCTGAGCCTCAGGCCAGCCCTTCCCGACAGCCGTGAGGGACTGCACCTCCCATGCCCTGGATGATGGCAGGTTCTGTCTAACCCAGACAGAAGTATCCCACCAGACATCAGCCGCCAGGGCAAAGGAGCTGCCCCGCTCCACTTACGGCCTTTCTGAAGAGATCCAGTTCATTCTCTGCAAAATCCGTGGCCATCTTGGAAACTGAACTTGTAGCAAGATTCACCTAAAAAAATGTCGGCAAAGTAATCAAACTTAACATTCTAAACCCAACATTTTAATTCCGCGCCAGCCACGCAGCCACCCCTGGACCGCAGATGGGCCACCTGGCCACGGGTGCAGGTCCAGTTCCCCATAAACGACACCAGAGGGCGCCGTTGCTCTTACCAGCGCATAAATGGGTCTCCCATCATCCTCCGTGACCCCCTTCTTGATCTCAATATACAAGGACTCCAAGACGCTGTTGATGTTGTGGATGAAGTCCTCCAACTTGTCCACCTGAGCACTGCCTGGAGGCGACAGCAGAGGGGGAGGGGCCATCAAAAGCATGGCTGATATTAATCTCTCTGGGGCATCTGAATAGAGGGCAGCCCAGCCAAACGCGACAAGGTCCTGCCCTCCTGGGCGGAAGCCAGCATGTTGTGGTTATTTGCTTCCTGGAGTATTTGAAGATACAGCACATAAGAGACGTAGGCGCAGTGAGGCAGCAAGGCTGCAGAAGATGCTATCTGAGGTGCTGAGGCTGCCATACTCTGCCCGCTCTGCTCACGGCCCGGGCTCCCCAGCGCAGCCTCGTGTGCTACAGCGGGCTCCCAGGGTCCCGGGACACCCGTGTCCCTGCCCATCCGCACCTGGCAGCTCTGCCACTGCTCCTTGCTCCCTTACTCAAATGTATCCATCAAGCGAACACCTGCAGGCCAGGCTGGGGCAGCAGTGAAGCCAGCCGCAGGACAACGCAAGGCAGTCACAGGGCGGCAGTCACAGGGCGGGTCCCCCATTCAAGCCAGAGGTCAGGGAGGGGAGCCAAAGCCCACCCTGCACGGGGTCGGGGATGCACACTGCTTAGCTGGGGAAGGCCAAAGATGGCCCTGGGGGACTGAGACCCAGCTTGCAGGAGCCGTTCTCCTGTGGGCAGCAGTGCACCCTAAGGCTGTAGGCAGCCGAGTGAGACAGAAATGCTAGAGGCAGTGAGACCGGGCCGGGCCCTCCGGGAGCCAGCATGGAAGATGGGATGTCTTGCAACTGCCGGAGGGCCAGGTCTCAAGGCAGGTGAGACAAATGCAGCTGCAGACTTCCCTAGGGACAGACCTCGAGCACTGATACCCTGAGCAGGTATCCATCACCCCGAAAGAGCCAGGGAGAGTCATTAACCCACCCCCGCCAGGAAGAGCCCCTGGTCTCTATTCATGCCCACTTGCGACATGACTCACTTCCCCATTTGATCCCGATTTAATCGTCTTATTGGACCTGCCTTCACCTCATGGTTTTGCTTTATTTTTTTTTTATTTATTTATTTTTATTTATTTTTTTTTCTTTTCAAAGTTTTATTGATAAACAGATAGCAATGAGACAGTTTCAAATCAAATCAGAAGTACAGTTTCAACAAATAATACACTGCATATATTCTTCTTAGTGGTTAATTGCTGTACAAGATGCGGACTTTTGATCCTATTTACAAACACCATTAGAACAAATCATTCTATTCATTAAGAGAATGTAACTATATATCTATCCCAACCACTTTGAATACACAGATACAAAATGGACATTCATAGTTACACCCTAATTTTTTTTAAGTTCCGTTGTTGAATATTATAGGTGTGTAAACTCAGGAAAATATTCTAAAAGAGTCCAGTAGCCCATAATAGCATTGGGTCTTCTGTTTAACTGGCAATGTCAGAAATTATTGACCTGAGTCCCCCACAGCTCAACTTAACAGCATGGCTTTACTTCCTATATTTCGTCTTCATACTTTTCTACTGGATGGTTAAGACCAAGGTAAAGCAGGACCTGTGCAACAAGAGTTGTAGCTTTTGGGTCTGAGAAGGTCAGTGAAATGCCCTCAGGATTTATCCTGAGATCCTGTATCTCAGATTGATGGTTTTGCTTTATAAAAGTACCCGCAAAGGACAGTTTCTGGGGCAACCTACACTGGTCTCCTGTCCCTCTCTCGGGAAAAAGCTTTCATTCCCTAATAAGTATATTCTGCTCTTCCCTTCCACCGTCCCTAAAATTAATTCTTTAGCTTTACAGAACATGAACGCATCCCAGGTATCATTCAGGTTGGGAGTTTCTTTCCCCTCTATCACTGACCCTGAAAGTAGAAGAGACAATCAGCTCAGGCCTTGGAGATCGCCTTTTGTGCTGCAATACACTTGTTAAATACCTGTATGTCTTCCGGGAAACACAACCTACACCCGCACTGACACCTACACCCACATCTACACCTACACCCACACTGACACCTACACCCACATCTACACCTACACCCGCACTGACACCTACACCCACATCTACACCTACACCTGCAGGAACTTTACCACACAACTGCTCCCAAACTCAACACTCTCGCCAGCAGCTCCTGAAGGGAGAAGCGGGACAACAGGCTCGATTCTACTGTTGCGATGGCACCTTTCAAACCATGAGTGCAGCAGCTGCTGCCACTTATTGAAATAATTTCAAAAGCTTTTTGTTTTTCTAAGTTACAAAATATGCTACCACCTATGTTAAGAACCACAACAGAACAAAGCAATACTGCAGGAAAGAGGCCTGAAAGGTTCCCACCCCTCGGCGGATGACCAAGGCACAGGTGGGAGGCGACTCAGTACGGAATCTTGAATGACCCCGAGTGCCCACATCTGACTTCTTACGGGGAGCAGGTGTGACAGCGCCTTCGCCACCCAGGTGCAGTTTAAACTAAAAGCATCACATTGGTGGCAGCGGAGGACACAGCCACGCAAAGGAGGGGGTGACATGACAGTCCACGCCCAAAGCTCTGCCGCAGAGGCCCACTGGCAGGGCATGCACGGTGTCACTAATGTGCAATTCAGCCCAGGGACCTGACCGCTGTTTCAAAGAACTGCTTTTATTTTTTCCAAAAGCAATCAAAATAAGAAATTGGCAACCACAAATTGGTGGACACGGATGGATGCAGGCCGGCTGCAGAGGCTGCGGTGAGGATGAACCTGGTGGGGAGCCTGGCGGGGAGTGGGACAGCTGCACTTCCTGCCCCTGCAGCAGCTATCCTCTCCGATCTCCAGCTCCTCCCTGCGTGGCCCCTGCTGCTCCTCCTCCCCAGGGTCCTCTCCTCCTCCCCATGCCAAACACCTCTCCCCTGTGCAGCCCAGAGCGTGCTCAAGCCCAATCTCCGCACCCTGTCCGGAGCTCTCACCCCGCAGAGCAAAGCATGTGGGAAACACCTCTCCTGGGTGAGCAGGGGGAGCCTTCGTGGGCAGGACGCACCCTGTCCCCCGACACGACACAGCAGCAGCAAGCCATGCCCCTCGGAAGTGACATTTTACATTTTCCACTCAAGAGGACCCTCTGGGTGTCACTGAGAAACGCGTACTCCGTGGGCAGATCAAATGCTTTCTAAGCTGCTGGACTTTCCAGACCGCTGGTCTGCATGGGGACAGCCAATGGCCTTGCTGCCCTGCCCTGCCCAGCACCTCAGGGCTCACTCACAAAAATGTGCTTGCTGATTCTCAGAGACAAAGGGGAGGGGGCGGGCCAGGGATGCTGCCTAGTTGTCCTTGGCAGAAGCTGAGCATTAGCTCATCACCACTCCCCAGGCCTCCCTTCAGAGCACAGTAAGGCCTGATCTTCCTCTACTGGACATTCTGGGCTTCTCAGCACCCTGGGAATGAAACGCCTGCCGCTCCACCCACGCCTTCAACTGGCTTTGCTTTCTAGTGGCAGTGGGAACACGGCCTGATGCCTGGGGCAGCACCAGAGCCTCCAGCTGGTCCCACCCTCAGCCCTTCTTCTCTCCCTCCAGCCCCACACCACTGCTGCAGGAGCAGCTCGCTCTTCCAGCCAGCCTCCGTGCACCCACCCAGACCGCAGCCGCTGCTGCAGGCCCCCAACAAGGGCAGGCTGAGGTCAGGCCTGCGCCCCGGCGCTCAGGCCCTTCCTCCTGCCCAGCTCTCTGGTTAGTGTCCGGTTAACATCCAGCCACCCACAATGCAGCCGCCTGCCAAGGTCTGGCTGCCTGGAGACCAGGCCCCTCCCCAGGAAGACCCCAGCCTTTGTTTTCAACGGTACATGCATGTGGATACGGTGGGCTCCGCATTCAGAGGACCCCTGAGGGGGAGCTGAGGCGGCCACAGCCTGAGTCAGGCTGCAGAGAAGCCAGTACTCAGCCCTCAGACAGGCTGCTCACGAGGCGCTGCTGCACACCTCCCCCGTGCCGCACGCCCCGCGGGGCCCCCAGGTACCTCCCAGCAGCCCCGGTCCCGTCTGCGGTTTGCAGGTGGCAGGATCCGACACAGCAGCCGGCTTCCCTGCTTCCCAGCCTGAGTCCTCAGAAGCTGCGCTGAGGCTCATGGCTCTGGCCCACTGCGCCCGACCCCTGGAGCCACGAGGGAGAAGCCACACTCCGCCAAGTCGGCAGGCACGCAGCCCAGCACTCCTGCGTCTAAGGTCGTGCAGACGCATGAGGTAAGACTGTGTCCTGCAACACTGAGACCACTACTTCCAAGGGAATAAGGTTTTTTTTTTTTTTTTTTTTTGCTCCGAATGCCCTCAGGGGTGGTTTGGCTGGCTGGAGTGTTGTGGGGATCGAACTACAGCAACCTGAGGCTGACAGCTTTGTGGAAGCAGCCACTTAAACAACTGGGCTAAGGCCAGGCCCCGCTACTTCCAATGGAAATGCCACTAGAGGAGCTTAGCAAAGTAATGCTGCTCCTCTCTTCAGGCTCTAGAGCCAACTGAGAAAAAGATACAGGCTTTGGGGAGTGCCACAAGGCCCACGGTGGCACAGGCTGGGCTGGGACCACAGCTGGGTCTCTGACACCACCAACGTGCAGCAGGTGACAGAGTGCCCAGCAACAAGCAGGGAGGCGAGGACTTGTCCCACGCCCCCATCTCTGCTCAGGCAGCAGACACAGCCAAGCAGGACAGCTGGCACCAGCCTGGCCGAGTGAGGGGACCCTGCACCCCGGGCACCCACCAGCGCTTCCTCCCCTGTAACAGTGCGTGCACTTCTCAAGGGCTGTGGGAAAGCAGCGGGCCTGCGCGGGCGTGGCCAGCACCATGCACTGCCTCCCAGCAGCCTGAGAGCAGCCCCACAGCGAGCTATTAAGGCATCGTCTTTATTTACATATGGAGCTGATCTTGAACAGATCCTAAACAGCTCAAATAGCTTGCTCACGGTTTCCCTAACTTGGAAACGCAGCCTCAGCCTGCCTGGCAGCAGCTCCCGGCCCCAGGCACTACGCCACATAGTCTGCAAAGCTGACCTGGGAATATCCTGATGCTAGACCCACCAGATGCAGCCTCCTGCGCTGAC